CATCTAGTTTCAAGCTGTATGCATCATAGTAAACCATCCCCGATTTGCTTGTGAACACGAATGTGTGTTGTTCAGTGAGCTTGAAGGGTTTTTTTTGGATGCTGTCCTGACCCAACTAAGCAATCGTGGCATATCACCAAGCCGGCAGCAGCCGCTTTCAGACTCAAAGGCCAGAACAGACTGGCACCTTGTTATGTGAACTGCTGTTACAGAGTGTGGTGTTATGCTCTGTAGTTGAAATGACAGCAGCATAAAAGGACAAAAACCGGCTCTGACTTACCGTCGGTAATTCAGTTAATGCTGTGCAGGAGAAATTTTGCATGTTATCATACAAAAAAAAAAAAAAAGAACAATGGTATGCTTTCTGAGCACTGCTCTTTTTATTTTAGAGATACTTTTGTCTATTTGTAGTGTGTTCTCAGTGATATTACAAATATATGCCTCGTTATAAATAATTCCTTTTTTCTTTGCATCAAACTGAAGGTTAACAACTGCTTTGTGGATGCCCTTAAATAGGCTTCTACACTTTATTTGTTATATTGAATGTGTGTGAGCTTCTTTTTGCATGCACTTGCTTGACTGGGTGGCTTTATTTTTATGTATGCAGTGTTGCAATTCATCCATTTCTATAAGAGGAGAGCAAAGGAGGGGCGGGGCGTCCAGGTAGAATGGTTTAAAGTGCTATGACAGCACGTTTTTCCTTGTGGAGGTCTTTAAACAGCGTCCTGCTACGTAAAATAATAGTAGGAAGGAGGGCGAGTTTGAAATACGAGTAAGTTAGGGTTAATGGCTTAAATGTAAGTCTCACGGTGTTTTTCTTTTTTGGGGGGTTGAATTTAGTCAATAATTTAATGAGGGTGGTGTAGTTTACCTCAGCTACTGAATGAAATTCACTACCTGAGTTCAAGACGGGATTATAGAAGGAGAAACACATGATTAATCTCAGATTTCTTTTCCCCCCATAGCGGTAATATTTTAAAGGCTAAATAAAGTCATGTCAGACTGAGGAGCTAAAAACTAAAAACTGATTTCTACCATGCTGTGCTAATCCTGTGTCCTGAATGTGCTGGGAGGGAGTGGAGGAGGAAATTAGTTCTTCTAATCAGATTTACTGGGTTCAACAGCTGCAACTTGTGATTATATCAGTGCAATCACATCTGAAACTGAAATCACTTTTATCTCGGAGCAAGTTTTTTTTTTTTTGAAGGATCCAGAAGATGTTGGCTCGCTGAGACATATGTAACAGCAGCTGCAGCTATTATTTAACAATTCAAACTTAATGCAGAAGTCTTGAGAGTTGCAATTGTTTTCATTTGTATCTTAGAATATAAACTGTTGAATTTTGCAACACTCTGGGTTGATCCAGAAAAGCATTAATTCTTTGCCCTCTATAGACCCTCTCTCTAATTTCTGTAACCATTATTTCCACTAAGGTTTTCTGAATTTATGGTTGTATTTAAAAGCAATTGCTGTGAAAGACTAAAGTTTACTATGAATGACTGGTTTTCAGTGTTGTATGTCAACCAAAGTACCAATTATTTCTCTAGGATTTAAAAGTTTAATGAAAATATAAACTGTAGAGGAGGTCAAACTGGGAACGTTTTTTTAACAACCATCCATTAGCTCAGCGTCTATCCAAATTGTTTGATTTGATTCTGGAAGAAGCGTAAAGCAATGGCCATAAAAAAGAATAAAACACCCTTGTTCCTGGAAAAGGTTTCCTGCAGCAAAAACACACCTAAAGGTTATTTTACTTTGACTGGGTTGTAAACAAGAGGAGAACAAAAATGAGATAAAATTTGGTAAAAGGGAGGTGGGGGGGGGGGAGCGGTAGAAACAAAAGCGATTTTGCTGCCTGACAAACGAGCATCCAGCAGGATTTCGCCACAGCTAAATTCAGAGGAAAATGGTGAAACGGTAAACATGAAGGAAAAAGGAGACGGATCGTACAGAGAAAATAAACTTCACAGCCTGCCGAGACACTTAGAGCTTGTAATATAAAGGCAGCTCATAAAAACAACAACAAATGGAAAAAGTAATCATCCAGAGATTACCAAAGCTTTAAAAAGACAAATGATTGCCCCATTGTTTTTAATCTTTCTGTTCATATCAAGATGTTCTCCATTCCATTAAAGGAACCCATGAGTCACTGTGTGAAAGTGAAGAAGTTTTAAATTAACAATTGTCTACAAACGTAGCTTAGCTGATTATATTCTAAAAAGATTTTCTTAGGTTCTAGTGGTCTTTGTTAGTACATAAGGAAGAGAGAGAAGGGGGGGAAAATGCAGCAAAAGACCCAAGACAGGGAACCAAACACAGGGAACTGCAGCTTCCACACGTCGCTCTAACAACTACGCCACTCAGCATCACAAGCTAATCAAATTTTAATGGATTCTTGATCAATAAGATCATTTTTTGCCCATGTCTATTTGAAAAAGAAATCTACTGAATCATTGTTTCTCACCATGACTAAATACTGTGTCCTAAGGAGGAAAGATACACAGAGGTCAAAAGTAGAAAAAAAGTAACTAACGGATGACTAGTTTCCCATGACATGCTTTAATAATGACATTTTCAGATTATTTGCAGATCACTTGATGTTCCACCTCAACAATTACAAACTTCTGGAGAGTCATTTGGTTCCGGCCCGTGTCCCAGGTTTGTTCTGACTACCTCAGCGTTGTGTGCCCACCAGTCCTCCTCATCGGCAGGGAAAATGTGTCACATGAGGGGATTTCTGGAAGCAACACCAAAGCTCTGACAGTCTTAAAAAAAGTGGATATTTAGCTGATTTAATGAGAAAAAAACAAAAAAAAAACAAAAAAAAAAAACATGATTTATTTAACTCCGGCTTATTTCCCCAGCTGCTCGGCTGCTTCCCATTTTCCACAGCATATTTGACTGCATATCACTTTCTTGCATGTTTACACATATTTACTGTTACAGCTTTATGTGCCCAAGTGGTGAAAAATAATTAGTGCCGTTATCACTTCGAACAAGACTGAACTAATTTCTTTTCATGAAATATAGATTCCAGGCACATCTGGCAGATTGCAACTGCAAAGAGGGAGAAAATCAATTGCAATATCTTTTCGTTCTCCAGTCGAAATGTATGGCCCAAGTGAGCATGGGAATCTTATAAACTGAGTGGATATTTGTGTTGTACCTGAATTCAGCCAGATATCAGGGAGTTTAATGTTCTGAGAGCAGATTCTTTTTTTTTTTATCTATTATTAATTTTTCTATAATATTAGTGTCACACAGTCTGAGTCAAATGGGAACAGAGATAAAAATTAGTCTGCCATAGAAATTCTTTGTCAAGGAATCGGGAAATTTAAACAGTGGACTGGCTGTTTAGACAGAATTAGGAAGATCTTGGATGCAAACATCCTGCACTTGTATTGAAACGCTCCATTTTGTTTTCCTCTGTCAAGTCTATCATCCTTCTTCTTTTGTCATCTCCTGTTCTGCTCTAATTCAGTCGTTATCTTTTGCACACTGATTACTTCTTCAGCCGCAGCAATGACAAAGACTCATCTCCAAACAGCCAGTTATCACAGGAAATGTGGCCAGAGTGGCTCAGCCGGGGGAAATTAGACTGTTTGTGATTCCATTTCAGATTTTTGTTGGCCTAATTGTGTTTGTATGAAACATTTTGAGACTTGCATGTGGAGCGCTGCCTGTACCAGCACTTGTGCAAAAAAAAAAAAGAAAGATCTGTTTGAAAAGGAAAACTGCATGATAGCATATGTGTGTGTGTGTGTGTATGCGTGCGTTTGTAATACCTTGTGGGGACAATTTTCCTGACATATACTACGTTGTGGGGACCAATTGCTCCTTGTGGGGACCGAAGCCTGGTCCCCACAAGGGGAAACCCTGTTTTTGGGTCAGGGGTCAGGGTTAGGGCTAAGGTATGAATTGAGTTTTGGTTAGGGGTAGGGTTAGGTATGTGATGGATAGGGTTAGGAAAAGGATAAAGGTAAGGTTTAGGCTGTAGAAATGAATGGAAGTCAATGGAAAATCCCCACAAAGATAGCAACACAAACATGTGTGTGTGTGTGTGTGTGTGTGTGTGTGTGTGTGTGTGTGTGGGTGTGTGTGTGTGTGTGGCAACAACAATTCTGAGTTAACACTTGGAAGAAAAACGACCTGAGCGACACTTTGAATGGAAGAGGAAGATGGCAGAAAAATGAAAAGCTGAGATTCATTGCAGGAGAAGGTGCTATAGAACAGACGGGTCAGGTCACGCTCTTATACAAACACTTAAATCCATGAATCTTTCATAGTTGGTACTTTAAGGTAAGAGGAGAAAACATTTTATTTCCAAAGCGCGATATGCAGGTAAAGAAAAGCGACTCCCACACATCCGCTGGAGGACAGCTGCAATGCTTTTTGCTTAGCTTTCTGACGAAGAAATGTTCTGCTTGTGGGTGAACAGAAATAGATGTGCTTTAGTTTAATTTAGGTTTTATTTCTAATAGCAACAAGATTCTCAAATAAAATCCTGCTTTCTCCCAATTTGTTTCTCCTCATTTTGTTGTTTTAGAGATTGAACAATAACAAGCTCAGACAAGATCTTTGACTATGGACTGTGGCAACTGAATCTTTTTCAGTAACTAAACATTTTTATCTTTACTGACAAAATCTCTTCTTTAATTATGAAACTCCAGTAGTTTTCAGTTTCGTCTGTTCAGATCATTAAAATACATTTTATTTCTATTAATTCTGCTAAAAATAACATATTGAAATAAAGTTTTCTTTAAACCCAAAGAGAAATTATAGTCATTGGTTTTTACTTTCATGTTCAAAGTTTCTTTAAAGAGTTTTTTTTATGGTCTCTCTTTGTTAAAAACAATCAATTGTTCAAAGAGTTTATTTGTGCATTTTGTCTACTGGTGTCCTTTCAGTTCTGTGGTTTAATTTGAAAAGAAATCAAGCTCAATTTGGTGACAATAAATAATTTTTGCCATGAACTTTTCTCAAGAAAATATAGACAAGTCTGCATTTCTGCATACATCTTTATTTCCATTTCATTCAGGTTAATTCTTAGTTTAGCCTAATTGAATTCAGTTCCATTCAGTTCAGTTCATGCTTGACTAAACTCTCTTTTATTAAGTTAGAGAAAAACAGGCTACACCATTTCCAGTCAATCATAGGGAAACACACAAAACAGACAAAATCAACAGTTTTGGACTGGACCAATGCATGTGACCCCAACAGCACTAAAAACTTAGTATCTGTGCTTCCTCAGTTCAGTTAATCTCAGTCAAATTCAGTTCCATCATATTCGTTCCAGTTTATGTCTTTGGCAGCAGTTCACAACCAGTAACACACAAGGCACTGGAATATAGAATGGCTGTAATGACACACATTTATGTTAAAGGGTAAAACTGAAGACTTAGTTCTAAAAATGCAAGCTAAAATTAAAGTTTTGAGTGACAAATTCAAATGAAAATATAATTCCCCTGTCCCATTTACAGCACCTATTGGTGCTTAAGAAGATCTTAATGCATTTGAAAGTGGTGACTTCTCTGTCAGAAAATGCAGACTTATGGCCAAAAAGCACATCATGAACACTGCACACTTTCACAAATCAGTGAGAGCAAGAAACATGACCAAGCAGCAGCAATACAAGTGAGCCTTGAGCTCAACATCAATATCTCTTATTGATTTCCCTTTTGTCCTGACAGAGAAAAATTAACAATCTTGCAACAATAGACTGTGCTATTTAGTCTTCTGTTCCCTCCTCTGCACTTATCTCTCTTCATTTTCCACTATACAGACTTTCATTACTCAAGCTGAAAGTAATGACTTACTGGTAATAGCTGCAGTTTTTCTTTGCGAGGTGTAGATGAGAATCAGAGGCAAGGCGGAGGTGGGAGGTTGCAGCTTCCCCGTGGTAATTGTATCTCCCTGGATCCGGATCCAACAGGGTCAGGTATCATTAAGGTTCAGGAAGAAAGGTCATGGAGAACTGTACAGGAGGAGACATGCCCTTTTGATGGTATTAGCTTTTAGTGGCAAATTGCATCAGCGTGACTTAACTCTGCGTTAGCAAAATAAGTCGACAAAGTCGACAAAGTCTTCAATAAACACACATGTTAAGGAGAATTTAAAAAGACCCATTTAAAAAGACTCAATGTCTCACAATGTGAGACATTGAGTTTTATAGCTCAATGTCTCACAGTCTTTGGCTAACATTTAATTGTATCACATTACCACAGTTTTTATACAGCGCCTTAGTGAAATATCACACTGGCTGCATGTCCATGCTTCCATGGACCATGGCTCTTTCATATTGCCTATTTATACCCTTAATGAAATGTATATAAATATATATATATTAAACCTAAAGGGAAATTATAGTCATCGATTTTAATTTTCCTGTTCAAAGTTTCTTTAAAGAATTTTTTTTAAATGTTTGAAGCTGCAAGAAAAAAAAAATCTCTTAAAGAAGTCTGTGTTGCAGCAGACCCAAAGCAGGCTCTGACTGAAGACTCCAGATGGCTGCATTACATGAAAGGGGGTTCTCAGGATTATCTATTATATTTTCAATTTCAGGAATGTATGTCTTTGTAATATATATGGAGTATCCAGAGGAGTCTTTCAGGACAGGTCATGCTTCCTGTTCAGATTGTTCAAGTTTTAAACTAATGGTCCCTGCTCCTGTTATTTTAAACAGATGATGGATTCTCCACCAAAAATTTGCAAGATCTTCAGCAACAAGAGAACCTAAGTCTGCTCTTTCTCCATGGAGAAAAATCTCAGCATTTTATCAAAGCATCCAAAGTTTCCCCTAAAAATTAATTTTGCAAACTTTTCGTTTTGCACCACCAAATGATAATCAAGATCAGCAGATTCTACTCACATTCCTCACTTAAAAACATTAAGTTTAAAGTAAAATTACATAAACTAATTACAGATTAATTCTAGAGCATAATAAGTTAGTTGTTAGTATCAAGTTGATATTTTAGTCTTGTAAGCAACAGATGTTAACTGCAAAAGAAAAATGACGAATTCATCATCATAAGATGATAAAATATATCACCATAAGGCTTTGTTCTACTCTTTTGTAGACAAAGTGATGTACATTCCCTGTGCAATGCTTGAAGAAACAAACAAATGGCATGTAAAGTAGCTTATTTCGCTCCATGTTCATTACTTAATGTGGGTGTTTTATTTGTATCATCATGGTGAAGGGGAATAGCACTAAATGGCAAGAGAAGGGCTTAGACTTGAACAGAAATTGGCTCAAAAACAAAGAAGCTTCCGCCTAATGGCCGCCTCCTGCGCGTTGGGGGGGCAGACAGTTAAAACCCCTCCCTCCGCCTCTCCTGAGATGGCGAGCTGGAGTTAAACAACCCATGTGGTCACAACACAAGCCAGCCAGAATGGAGGACTTCAAAGCAGCCCCACACAAACACCTCACACAGGGACCGTCTGAGGGACCTCCGGTCATGTGACTCCAGGCCAGGTGCACTCAGACCGGACCCTTGGCAGGACAGCGTAGTCCCTACCCTTGTCAGTTTTGATCATCAGCCAATCAGAGGGCCTCCCCCACCTCCCCCCCACCTTTGAGGTTCCCATTTTGGGGGGCATGGGCCACCTCCCAGATTGGCTGAGCACCTGCTGCTCTCCAATATGCCCACCCGCTCCCCACAGTGTCACAACAGGCCTCTCATTCACACTCCTTCAAGGCCCCCCCAGCCCCAACAACTCCCCCCGCTTTCTCACTGCCTCTGCCAGGTGGGGCCAAACACATGCCCGCTGTCTCATAAACACAAAGACTTGCCAGCATTGCCCAGTTAGCAGCGAGGATTCCTGAGAGACAGACTTGTGTTGAGGGAGGAGCCCAAACAACAAAAAGAGAGAAAATAAATAAATAATAAAAATCCCAGAAAAACATCCAACCTCGGCATCACGAAAAGCAGATGACAGACAAGACACAAACACACACGTTTAAAATTAATTAGACAATGCTGAGAACAAAAGAAACAAAGGCTCAAAAATGCTTCTGGGAGCTGCTGCCTACAAAATGATAAAATACCTCAAGAATGAAGAAACACGACAGAGAAAGGAAGAATGGCTCAGATAGGAAACTGCCCTGTCTGGGGTTTCTTAAGTTTCTCCAAAGAGGCAATTTTGACAAATATGTCTGACCATCTAACCACACTGTTTTCCTATTAACGGCCTCATATTGGAAAGCGGCAGCACTATGAGCTCCAAAAGTCAGTCAATAACTCATCTGGTTCTCTGGTCTTTTGTTTTTTTTTTTTACCTTTTCAACTGGCTGCTGTTCTTTCTTTATTCATCTGCATGTACGGCACTCTCTTCTCCTATTAACCTGTCCCTCTCAGCAGACGATTTGCAGCAATCTCAGCCAGGCAAAACCAATTCGACAGACAGTGTAAAGCTCTCCACTTTGCCTAAGCTCTGATTGGAGCTCTTGAACTGAAAATTATGTTTTCACAGCTTTCCAACACCGAATTAATGCCAATTATAATAGGCATCTGAGATGAGGAGGCAGAGAAAGCAGCTGCTATATTTTAAGTCAAAGGAACATATTGTCAGAGCTAAATGTTAATATGACATCCAGCTTCTGGCTGTTGTAATTTGCATTTAGAGCATCAACGACACTTAAAGATTTCATTTTTCAATTCCTTCCTCACTCCCCTCGTTCCTTTCTCTCTCCACGTCTGCTCGTCCCAGTGATGTATGTCAAAACAGAGTAACAAAGACAGCTTGTGGAAGTGGAGATCATGAGAACAGGGACGTTGTTCTCATCTTGTACATATGTGAACGCCATTAATCCAGTAAACAGTGGATAACAACAAAAAATGCAGAAAAAATTTTGAAATGAAAGGAGTGGTGAGAAATAAAGAACAACGTCAACAAAGGGGGATTTGTGTTGTGACAAGGAAGAGAGATGGTTGCAGTTGCAGAGAAAAATTAATGGCAAAGCAAATACTCTGTTCTTTAAATGACACTACTGCAACCTTTGAGTTGTAATGTATTTGTTCTCCTGCCTCTACCTCTTAACTCCACCACTTACCTTTTGCACAATTTACACCAAAGGCTACACAGTGTGACATTCCATGCAGCTGTAATGAGACAAACGCTGATTTAAGAGTTTGACATATTTTAACAGTTTTGCACTTGTACCAGTTTTTGGTGCTCATTTACAAGTTGCAACGAAACTTGCAACTCATTACAGTAAGATTCTGGCAGGATGTTTGACCTCTCTTCTTGGCAGTGTTGGTTGAATTCATTCACATTGTTTTCTTGTTTTTTTTTTTGGCACAGGCTTGAATTTTGATTAGACTACACAGATTTTCACTAATAGCGAGTTTGGAGCTTTAAAAAAGGCCACACAGAAATCTTTTGGTTTTCTAAAAGCTGTTTTATATTAATGTTTTGTGTCTTTATCATATTGTAACAAGAAACTGCCCCAGATTTTAACCCCTCAGATGCCAGGGATCACCTTCAGATGAACTGAAACTGATATGGATGTTCAAGAACGTCCTAGAACCCAACGAGGCTCGAGTCTAAGATTGGATGTCAGGGTTGGCATACGAGGTCATAACTTACTTCTTTAGGTTAAAAATAGTTTCAAAAATATTATTTTGTATTTATATGACTCAGTTTGCTTGCTGTTCTTGAACCCCCTTTTGTTTTTTACGCTATAGCTTAAAATCAGCTATAGAAGACAGACAAAAACACAAGTTTTTGTCTGTCTTCATCTGCCGCTCTCCTTGATTTCAAGTTGCGAGCCACTTTCTTGTGCCAAGATGCGTGCGCTTGAAATTACAGTTGAAATATTACACGCTCTGTGCAGGCAGAGTGTCACGAGCGTAGTGTAATTCCCAGCGATGATCACACCTGTTCCGGCTCCATCTGGATCTCCGACGTTGTCCTCTTGTATTCAGTGCTCCTGTTGATGCATCCCTCCATAGTCCTCACCTCGCTTGGCGGTTTGTGCTCTTTGATAAATCATTTATCAGCCGAGTCAGACAGGTCATGCATCAAAGCCTTTTCTGATGGGGAGATTCTGCACATTTCCTCTGGAAAAGATCCGTCCTGTGTGTGCTGATTGGGTGGCAATGGAGCAGAAATGGAGATGATGTGGGTCGAGGGTTGCTATTATTGAAACATGAATTGTTTAAAAAAAAAAAAACAACAACAAAAAAAAAAAAGTGTATGCAGATTGACTCTGCTCCTTTTTTGCCTCTAAAGAAAAGATTTACAAAATAAATATGTCTACATTTAGGCAAATGAGATGAGCATTAGAAAATGCTGGAGAGAATTGGGCCTTATTCTGCAATGGCTCATCTCTGGAGGCTGCTCCGTGGTTGTAAAACCTCATTAAAATGAGCAGAGATAATGGAAACAAGCTTGATTATCTAGCTAATGACATGTTGTCTCATAAAGGAACAGAGGAGCTACAGAGCAGGCATTAGCTACTGTACATTACTGCATAAAGGGCAAAACAGATCATAATTATGACACTTTAGGCTAATGGCCGTGTTAATATGCAGTAAATGTAAACAGAAGTTGGGGTCAGAGTTGGATTAAGTCACCTTTATTCAATAATGAGACACATTTTGCATTGATGGCACATCTACAGCCACACAGGCATTGAATTTGGAGTAGTTTCTGCTCTCACGACAAATTTCTAAAATGAATGCTACTCGTTTGACCCTAATGAGCAGCACTTGGTTGGCCTTCGCCACACCTTTGGCAATTTTTGCACCAGCCTACACGCTGCCAGGTTTCTGCGGCAGGTTCCTGTTGCAGGAAGTGCGACAAAAGTCTACTGAGCAAGAGAGGGAATGCAGTGGGTCTGTGGCTATCTGCCCAGGCAGCAGAGGGATTTTTTTGTGTGACTGAGTGTGTTTTTTTGGACTCCCATTCGTTTTTTTCCACTCACACAGGACCTCTATTGTGATTTCTCTGGCTCTTTGCGGCAACATTTGA